GTTTTGTTGCACAGGTACTTTGTCCTACATGTCCACAAACTACCGTCAAATACGGCAAGACTAACATTAAGATTACATTGTAAAGTGAATAATAAGTAGGAATGTTTATGAAACATCCCACGCCGGTGCATTTCCTGTTCACGATAATTAAGGACAAAAATGAAAACTAACGTTGTCAAGTTAGGATAGGAAAGTCATAAAAGTAAACGCGGTACAAACCAGCAGCATCTGACACAACTTCATCGTGTTAATTACTCTTAGCAAGTCTGCTTCGCGGAATTTGAAGCTAAAATCCGTCGGCGGTCATGAGAAGAGATCTTGCCCAAGAAAGTTTTAGGAGTACACGTACATTCTTGGACACGACACCTACAAAAATGCAATGGAATTCCCCGTCGAGTACACACTACGTCATGCACGGGGGTCGACCACTTGCCGGGGTCGACGTGGGGCAAGCACAGCGCCCTCGTTTTCGGAGAGGGATTTCAATACTTCATTGTGATTGGTTGAAAGTTCAGCAGAAAATCCCAGCTTTTATTTTTCGCAACGATTCACCCGCCGGTGGGCACCACCACTTCTAGTCAAGGGAGGAATTGAGATTTTTTTTTTCTTGAACGATTGTCCAATAGCCTCATTTATTCCCATCTTCCAAAGAAGGTGCGAGTACCAATTTTAAAGTGCTAAAAATTTCTTAAAATTCCCCTAACAGTCGGTTAGGGGCCGGGGGTGAGGCTAAGCAAGTGAAACAGAAGACAGACGATAGTGCAGAATTCTGTTCGAGGTGAACAGCATGGCACAAAATTTCACGAGAGCGTCGTGGGGGGAGGGTCGACATACTTAAGTACAGGGCACAAATATCACTGGAGAGAGTGAGAACTTTATTGAAATTGGCCATACCAAAATAGTTTTTTAATAGTTCAATCGTAATGCAATGTTTATCAAGCAAATAATCGATTAGAAAAAGTACCGGTAGAAATAGCCAATGACTGGGAAGTTGATATTAAGTAGTACATTCAAAAGTACAGTGACCGCATTTAGCCGTCCAAGACGCAGGGTTTTTCAGAATGCCTTCACTTAAGCAGGCCTGCGACGCAACTATTCTCCATAATGCTCTAAAATGTCACTTTATTACATGGCAGCGTTCATATTTTGGTCTAATTTCATAGCTCACCAGACAGTTAACCAAACACATTTATATTTTTAAGTCCACCTTGTTGCAAAGTACCCAGAAAGCACCAATTACTGAGCGACTCCAGATTTACGCTAAATATTTAACCCCACCAACGAGCCACTGTCTTTTAGACACACTTTTTGCTACACCCTTATCTTCAATTCAAACATGTTTTTAACAAAAAAAATGGAAAAATAAAAAAGACTGAAATTCCATCTGATCAACAAGGATAAAAAGAGTCTAAATGACGTCTCTTAATGACATAATGTTGGTTCAATCACCACTAAAAATATTGGACCACAGAGAAAAAATCAAAGGAACCATTTTTTTGCTCATCATTTCATGATATGCTTTAAATGTGCATTTAAAAACATTGTATATAAATGAGTGAGCTGGGTTGCATATTTTCACCACAGATCCAACGTAGCAATGTCAACACCTTAAAACTCAAACTTTTCACATCAAATCACTGATGGTTGAGCTTAATGTCCTTCAGATTGTCGCAAAATTCTTTGGACTTCCATCAAAGTTTTGAGACACTGCTTCTTCCTTTTTTCTTGCGACTTGATGTTGATCTTTTTCGGGTGTTCCCTTGGAAGACAAAAAACAGTGCAAGCAATGTCAGTAACACGAGAGATAAGGAACATTTCAATTTACTAACAGCAAATGCCAATATGTTGATACTACTTTCACGAGAATTAGAAGAAAATTTCCCTTTACACATTTGTGAATGGAAGCACCACAAGTTGTTCCAGGGTTGGGCCAATGGGTACCACACCACTCTCCCAAAAAGTGGCAAATTTGTTCTTAGTTTTAGAAAAACATCATGTATGAGCCAAGTGAAAAAAAACAGGTTAGTTATAGCCAAAGAGAAATCTAAAGTACTAAAAGTGGTTTCAAAAAGACGAACATTTCAGGAAAATTCCAACATTCCATTTACTAAATAAGAGCAGATACTAGTGGCCAATGTGCAGTCCAATTAACTCAGATGCATACCGACATGAGATGGTTGTGAAAAATGTTTCACACAAGTTAAATGATTCATGTAAGTTAAGGGATCATTAAAAATGTTCACTCAGGCCACAGTTGGCAACTACTAGTACTTTCAACCTTCTGATTTTGTGAAAGAAACTTAAAGTTAAAAGTTTGTTGTTTTTTTGTACAGGTGATGATTTTTGAAGAGTTAACATAAGGCCAAAAAAGTCTCCGGTTTCTGGTTATGAGCTTGCTCTAAAACCGGTGTTGCGACATGGCCTTTGTTTTTTTAAACTCGCTTTCTTTTTCTGGAAATGATATACATAAACGCATGATGTCCCTTGCAAATGCATGCGCACGTAACGCCGGCCACTACTACTGTAGGATTATGCCTTATCAACTACAATTAATAGCGCCCTCTGTTGACCATATTGTGAACACATGGAAATATTCCATGGAAGCTGCCATCTTGAATAAAGCACTTAATTGTACATGAATGACCATCTCCACAATCTCTGTCGATAAAACCATGGAGGAATAAAACAAACAAACGTCGCTACCAGCATGGAGGTAGAATCACAGTGATTCTACCTCCATGCTACCAGCAACACGACACCGCGAGTCATCGATTATCTTTTTTACTGTAAAAATGATAAAACCCAATATTACAACGACCAAAACTAAAATAGACTTTTTATTGCTTAAAAGCATTTTCAGCTTGTATATGTACACGGGACATAGGACCACCTCATGTGTCTAGTTCCGAGATGTACAAAATTCCTCCATGATACAATGTACGCGTTTTCCTTCCTCCAAGCGCTTAAGCGCGCCGTACGCGTAAGTAAGACTGAAAATTGTAAGCACAAAATGACATTTTTATCAAAAACAGCGAAGTGACACAACTCCACAATACAAAACAACGATACTTACTAAAACACTCATCAGGACTAACGAAAGTTTGACCATGTTTGAAGATTACTTTTTTGCAAATTTTGGAGTAATTCACAGACCTAACGTTGGCATTTGCAGTCGACGCAACTTCGCATGCAAAAGATCCACCGGCGACCTCGGCCGCACCTATGAGGCGCCCTTTGTCATATGTCCTCAGTTTAATTGCACTTTTGTCCTGTATACAGGTTGGTTTCGTATTTTATACTAAGTTTCGTCCTATATATACTTCTTTCGTCTTTTGAATATTTTGTTCCATTTTAAATTTATTTCACTTTCGTCCTATATATATTACTTTCGTTATATATATCAATTTTGTTAGATTTTTTCGTACAAATAAAGTCATGCGGGGCGCCTCATACAGATAGGTGTTTTCACCACGGACGTCATATAAAAAAATCTTTTTATAAAATTTTTTTTATATGACGTCCGTGGTTTTCACTAGCGCGCTGTATGTGTATACAAAAATCAAGAAGTGGAGGATGAATGAATGGAATGGAAATTTCTAGAACATGTGAACACGTGGGATCTCGAGAATTCTCGTACTACGGAGGCCTATAAGAGCCACTTGCAAATTTATTTTTGTTACTACATGTATCTCGTCACAGCGAAATACTAACTTTCCGCAGATAAGTCGCCGTGAGATTCAAGGTCGCCGCGGCGAGATAGTATTTGGCCACGAGATATAGCATTTCGCCGCGGCGAGATTCTCGCCGTCAGACATCCGGAAAAGGTCATGGTCAGCATGCAATGGGTGGCGCGTTCGTGAGAGGGAGCATAAGAGATCACTTCGTTGGGCTAAAGCTGTGAAGGTCATCAAGTTTTGTTTTTGTTTTCAAATTCCATGTGACTTAGGGAAGGTGATTTGGACATTATAGTAGATATCTTTCTTTCTTTCTTTTTTTCAATTAAAGAAAAGGCCTTATTTCCCTCCCAAACCAGTCTCTGGTGGATACATTATCATGATAGTACTAACGGTAAATTTGCCTCTTTGCCGCCTAATAAAGTCCACAGTGACGTGACCGCGAGAATAGTAACTCGGAAAAAAATTGCAAGTGTCCCTTTTACACTTCCGTAAGTCGCCTGTACTTTATCGGAATATTATGATTCTGTGTAAAATGTCTGCCGTGGCCGGTTTGGTTCGTTTTTCTCTATCGACATGGTTGATGTCATCTTGATTACCCACTAAACTGAGAGCTT